AGGTAAATATAATCTCACTTGCTTCCCCATCAAATCACAAACTCAAGTTGTATGATTTGCTGTCATGACATTGTGCATTTTTGGTGAACTTTAAGCAAAGCATATAGCTTTCTATCCTAAGCGATTCAGAATGAGGTCACTTGGGATTAAACAGAGATTTTTATTCTTGTGTGGAAATACTGAATTTTACACACATGGTTGGGGAGCAATCTGAGCCCATGTCTAATGGATTTTTGTAACTAAAATTTTACCCTGTTCATCTCTAGGGGCATCCTCGTGACCCAGGGGTAAAATTTCTGTTACTAGTATTTTGCTCCCCAAAAAAATACCCCTGGGTGTGAAGTCTGTTAGAGCTTGTTCCAGAAGTCCAAAGTAATCTCTTTCCTGATTGGTTGAGCTGCTGGGGTCAACCAATAAGCATCAAGTATGTGTAAACACAAACGTGTTGGCATTATTTTGAATTCAGACTTCCAGAACAAACTAACTTCTTCCTTAAGGTGCACCAAACCCCTGATATAATACTTTCAGTATTGATTCTAAATAAAGTAAAAAATTGAATGGTGATGTATTTCTTTATTTGAATGTTGCGTCTTCAAGTTATGAAGGTTTATACTTCCAATATGTTACTGACTTTGACGTCACCCAAGACTTCATTAAATATACACATTGTGATGGGTTCATACAAACAGTTTTTCAAAAAGAATCATTATTATACTCAAGGTTTCCACAATGTTTATTATTGTAAATCAAATGTCTCATAATGGCTAGTGTTTGGTATTAAAAATTAAAACAAATACACTCGAAAGCCTGTGGTGACGTCACAGTCAGCACAGTCGGTGGTTAGGTGCACTTTAAGAGGTTTGGAATAACAGGATAGCACTGTTTTGTAACAAAATGAAGTTTGTACTTTTAACAACTCCACACTTTCTTTTAATTTTTCTCTGGATTTTCTTCAGACTTACAAATTCATATTCCAACATATTGGAGATGTGGTTCCTGGTGCAATAGTGACTGGGACAGTTTGCATAGC